ACTGCCACGCAGAATGTGCCCTCCGGGGTCCCGTTTTTTATTTGCCACAACTGTCACAGTTAGTATTTCCCCGGGCGTTCTCTCTCACCAGGAGCAAAAAAATCTGTCTGCACACGCGAATTCGATTATTGGACAATTTTACGCGCCTTTAGCATGGCGGCAGACGGTCACCTAAGCTCAGCTTACCGATCCCCGATGGCTTTGGCCTCGACGGGCAGTAACCCCGCAAAACGACAGACGTCGGCTGGCGCAACGGCTCAACTCAAGGGCGAGCGGCTATTGTGTGTCGCCAGCTATTTCCCCGGCGACCTCAAAACGAGCGTTTGTTCACGCGCGAATGCTTCCGCTGAGTGGCCGTAATTGTAGGTCACACTCGTCAGACACCACTCCATCCGCACTTTCCTTCCTGGTTTCCTTGCTTTTCGCGAGCATAGCGCCATCTCGCCACAATGATACGGACTATACTGTGCCTTGTTTAACTCGAAAACTGCCTTCGAGATGGCAAGAAAGTCACGAATCAAAGTGTACGAAAATCTATGTCGCGGACAAAACCTCGCCATGGCTATAATCTATACTAGCGTGGCTGACCGTTAATCAGTAATCGCGTTAGCACTGCCACGTTAAACTTTTTGCGGGCTATTTGGCGGCATTCACGAGTCGTAGAGGCCGGAGTATTCAAACTGACGTTTTGAATCTAACCCACGACGTGGCGGTAGCGGCGTAGCTTGCGCGCTAAAGCCCCTGAGGCTTCGTCTATTGCGCGCATTTTCATAAGAATGGAATGCATGTCAAGTGACATGAAACAACCGCACTGGTAAATGACATAACGTGTTTGATTCATTCGGGTTTATTTGTTATCGGATCAAAATACTATGACTTACAGCGTGCGGCACGTCTACCGCAGGTCAATACGCTGCTTTAAAATCACGCTTACATCTCCTGCCATCAAATTGTGTGGCGAAGCCCAACCTGTAATTGCTCAAAAAAGTTAGAGGCTGGCTGAAAAAAAAAAAGGGGGGGGGGGGGGCTTTTAAAACTTCAACCTTGTTCGATTACTTGATGTTACTGTTTGTGATAACGAAGTCGTGTGAGTTTCTTCTAAGAACCGGTATGTTGCTTTAGAACCGCAAGAACAGACATGCGAAGGTGCCACATTTGAGAAGAGAGAGGTAAGAAACATGGGGAAGGTAGGGGGATCAACTAGTCTATGTTCAGTTTCTTACCCTAAACGTGGTGAAAGAGAAATGAGAGAGTAAAAATTAGGAAAATATCATGTATATTAGAGCAAATGTCTTCACTGCAACGTAGTGATGTTGGTCGTGATACATAGATGTGCCGAAGTGTATATGCCTTGTTACTGTGTAATGAAGCCTTTGTGTTCTGTACATACTGTAAATATTTTTTTCTAAACAGGAGAGACACATATCGCGAACCCGAGCACATTTCACAAACTCTGCGTTAAATATTGGGGCCTGTGGACACCGTAAGGAAACAATCGATGCAAACAGTAGCGGATAACAGATGTCGCGGGAACTTGCATGCAATTTTTATGAAAACTTTATGTCCTACCAATTCTTGTATAGTGCGTCCTTGAAATGGTCCAATTATAGCGCTTATAAGAGCTAAAAACTTAAAGATGAAGATGAAAATGGCGCCCTAATAACTTTTCTACTAATAAATACATTTTTAAAGACGGCAGAAATGCAATTGCTGTGATAGTTACGAAAATTGAGAATTCTGAGGGGATTTTTCTTTTTCTCCTTTGACGCTGGTTGATAAAACTCGAAGTGCTCCGAAATGTTCGAGAATATTCGTTTTTCTAAAGATAATTTGAGCGAGAACTTTTTTTCTTAGCCACACAATACTGGATAAATATTTGCGTAAACTATTGAAAATGGTTGAAAGATGAGCTGGCACAGTCGGCTAGGAAAGAAACATGGTACATTCACACGAAGTTGTGGAGATAGCGTCTGCACGTATTCACCATTTCACTGACCAAGTGATGAACACAACACCAGCAAAAGGACAACAAGGGCGTGGCCAGAGGGAAAGAATGGGTGGGGGTCTGTCTTGCCACCCCCTCTTCGAAATTCGAATTTTTCAATTTTGCATGTATGCACGTATTTATGTATACACGTACACGCACAGACGTACGCGCGAACACATCGAGCTGTTGAACTTGCCTTGCCCCAACCTAAAAAATGTTCTGCAAACTCCCCTGGACGACATCTCGCCGTTTTCATTCTCACCAATGTCGAGAAGCCGAAAGATGGCTACGGGAGGACACAGACTCTCCAGTGTGCATTGAGCAGACTCGATGATAGGAAAGATCTTTTACTGAAGGAAATCTCTCGGGAACCTGGCCTCATAGCACAAGAGCCTTGAGAACCACTCGAGCCCTCATGCAGTACTTAAAGGTATATAGCAACATTGAGCGGCCGCCTATGAAAAAGTGTGTGGTGTGTGCAACATGTCTATCTCTTTCTTACGCTCTTATTCCCCTCTCTTTGTGCAGGGTAGAAAACTGGACGTAGTCTTGTTGACCTCAGTTCCTTTCCTATTTCTTATATAGATATATATAATATATATATATATATATATTATATATATATATATATTATATATATATATATATATATATATATATATATATATATATATATATCTTTCTCGATAGCAGCTGAATTTTGACAACGGGCCATACGTGATCTTAGTACTAATATGCAGGCATGTGGGATGATGATTATAAAAATAAACATTTTATTTCATTGGCGAAAACATCGTCATTCCCCTGTCAGAGAAAACAGGGGCGGGGGGGGAACAATCTAGGCGATGGCCCTAATCCCGTGAGTGAGCCTCAGCGTCATCTTCGACCTGCCGCCTTTGTGTGTGTGTGTGGGGGGGGGGGGGGGTGCATCACGATTTTAGAAAATTACATAGTTGTGTTAACATAGTGTCTGAGATTTCACGTGTCAAAACAACGGTACTAGTATGCGGCAAGTGGTACTATATAGGGTGTTACAAATTAATGCCGGTTACCTGCTGTTCCCCAACGTGATCGTAAACCTGAGGGCTCAAGTTTATTTGCTTGTTTTTTCGCATTCAACTCCATATCAACGCGGCCACTGTGGCAGGGAAACGAACTCCCGTCCTCGGGCTTAGCAGCGTGACGATAAATCTCCTCAGATATGTCACGGATAATCCTTGGTACGTGGTATGAATTACTAAGCTGCAGTTATTGTTATCGCTGGCTGAAGGTGCTGTGATGAACCTTATGTGTCTCACCGTCCATTCAGAAATATTTGAGAAAGTTCCTCATGCTTTTTCCATTTTGCTCCGGTGTGGAGGTGCGTTTTTATCAAACGGCTGCCTGACGACGGCTGATGTGCCCAATCACAAAAAGAGTTAAGAAGACAATGATGAAGTAGCAAATGTTTCTATAAAATTAATAATATCAACATGTAGTTTTAGTGCGTAAACCACCTCATTCTTCTGAGGCAAGCCGTAGTAAAGGGCTCCGGAAATTTTGACCACTTCATGTGTTTCAGCGCGCACTGAAGTGCACAGTATATGAGTCTCTGCCATTTAATTATCAGCCTGACTACGGCCTCTGCAGGACAAAGGCATCTACCATGTTCTGCCAGTCAACTCAATCCGGTGCTTGCTGCTGCCTCTTAATACCTGCAAGATCCTTAATCTCACCAGCCCACCTAACTTTCTGTCTCCCCCTAAACCACTTGCCTTCTCTGGGAATCCACTCAATTACCCTTAATGACCAGCGGCTATCCTGCCTCCGCGCTACATGTCCGGCCCATGTGCATTTGCTCTTCATAATTTCAACTATGATATCCTAAACCCCGGTAGGTTCCCTGATCCACTCTGCTCTCTTCTTGTCTCTTAAAACACCTACCATTTTTCTTTCCATCACTCGCTGCGTTGTCCTAAATTTAAGCTGAACATTTTTTGTAAGCCTCCAGGTTTATGCTCCGTATAGGTACCGGCAATATGCAGCTGTTATGTTCCTTTCTCTTGAGGGATAGCGTCAATATACCAGTCATGATTGTAGAATGCTTACCGAATGTGCTCTACCCCACTCTTATTCTTCTAGTTACTTCAATCTCGTGGATCGGCTCCGCGGTTCCTACCTGTCCTAAGTAGACGTACCATTTCACAACTTATAGTGCACTGCCACCTATCTCGAAGCGCTGTTTTCTTCCGAGTTTGTTGTAAATTATTTTCGTGTTCTGCAGATTAATTCCACTACCTACCTTTCTTGATTCTTGCCTTTCTTGATTCAGTAATCATGAATTGCTACTCGTCCCATGAGTTACTGAGCAATTCAATGTCGTCGGCGAAGCACAGGTTACAAAGGTACTGTCCATTAACTCTTATCCCAACTCTTCCCTGGCTAGGCCTCTGAAAACCTCCCGTAAGCACGCGGTAAATAGCATTGGTAGATTGTATATCTGCCATTTCGGCTCCACCGAAATGTGACCGGCGGCCCCCTTGGCCTGGGCCCGAGATGTTAAGACGTCGGCCCGCATGCACTAACATGGCCCGCGGGCCGGGCCGTGCTACAGGGCCTTCTATCCGGAGCTCGTGCACGCCTCTAGTCTACACGACACGTGCTGACGCGTACGTGTGTGTAGGCATTGATTAAGGCTTTCGACCGGCATAACTATAAAGCTCGATTTGCATGAGGATTTATATTCTGCTGTGCTCGCGTTATGGATATGATATGACACCGTGGCAGTGCTCGCTGACGACTGCTTTCTCGTTGTATCTAGCTATCCATCTTCGGGTTAACGATATCTCTGTAAAAGGTCATTCACACTTGTTATCTGCCTCGACAAGAGTTTGTACCTCACCATGAAATTATATAGTCTGTTTGCTCCTGACTCTGGTCCTGCAAAACGTGTTCACCCTTCAATGCATTCCGCTGATAACGGGGAATGCCGTAGTACCGTTGTATATTTTTTTTTGGTACATGAGAGATAAGGCTTGTCGTGCAGAGCGGCACTGTTCACGACGTGGGTGAGACGAGTCAGTCAACCAAGGGCAGCGCTCCACTGTTTTCATATCAAGAGGCCAGGTATGTATAGGACCTGCTCTCATGTTGGTTTTATCTTTTAGGTGTTCCACTGCTTTGATTTTTTAATGGGTACTCAAGCCATATTTGCATTTAGCAACGTGATATCATTGGTCAGCCCAGGAACGAATTCTGGACTATTTTTTTTCGTGGGCGGATGTGAATAGGTTGAGTCTAATACTCTGCGTGCGTGAATGTGTAATTGTATGACCACCGTATACGTTCCTACATACAAACTCCAAAACGAACTTATTGAAGGGGCGAAGTGTTGGACAACCGTTTGCCCCGACTCCAAGGCATCGGGTAATGCGATAACCAGTTAGCCTTGGTCAGTTCATAGGTGCATTAGATATACACGGGGGTTTTTAAACAGAGTTCAATTTGATAAGTGCTGTGGTGATAGAATTATTATTATTATTATTATTATTATTATTATTATTATTATTATTATTATTATTATTATTTGCATACACAAGGACACACATAAAAGAGGGAGAGCCCAAGCTGGAAATTTGCCATACTCACTGTAATGTCAATGGCTGACTTGAGTTGGTTTCCTTGATACTTGCTATGATTCTCTTAATTCGTTCATCAATGTATGAAAGCTATGGAAGCTATATATATATATATATATATATATATATATATATATATATATATATATATATATATATATATATATATATATATATATATATATATATATATATATGTGTGTGTGTGTGTGTGTGTGTGTGTGTGTGATATGGCACAACGGGAGCGTTGTCAACAAGGATAAATGTATTTATTTTTCAACAGTTTCGGGAGGGGTCCTCCCTTCATCAGGGGATGAGTTATACTGACATCATGAGCTTCCAAACTTCGCTGCTGCCGCGTCCCTCTCGCCTTGAAAGATTTTTGACAGTGGTTCTTCCTCTTTTTTACTTTATTTATTTATTTTTTCGTCCTTTTTCTTTCCCCTTTTTTGTTTTTTCTTTCCTTTTTTAGTTCCCTCTCACTCTCGCAAACATCTTTCAAGGCGAGAGGGACGCGGCAGCAGCGAAATTTGGAAGCTCATGTCAGTATAACTCATCCCCTGATGAAGGGAGGACCCCTCCCGAAACTGTTGAAAAATAAATACATTTATCCTTGTTGACAACGCTCCCGTTGTGCCATATCTCATACCTTCACGAAGACTAACTGGCCCATTGTATTATTACTCCCACTATATATATATATATATCTATATATATATATATATATATATATATATATATTATATATATATATATATATATATATATTATATATATATATATATATATATATATATATATATATATGTATGTATATGCTCACTCGACTAAACTTTATTGTTTAGCTCTAACTTTAACAAAGAGATTTCGGCAAGAAATATACAGATACATACTAGTGCATAGGGAGCCAAACACTGGAGAGGAAAAAGAAAATAGGAAAATTTGAAGATACACGCGCTCCACTTCTTTTTGAAACGATTGTTCGCATTTTTTAGTTTCAAATTTCTTTCATTACGCTTTGAAATCATAACAATTCAAAACAAGTCCGTGCTACAAATTTTTTATGTTGGCATTTTCCCCTCTAATTCTCCGTTAATGGTTGGTCTGTAAGTCTGTTCAACAGTATTGTATTTACTGGGAATGCTTATAGCGCTGGATAAAGCTATAAGCATTGGTGAATGCTTTCTAAGGTTAGGTGCTGTTGGTTAATACTGGCTATACGTGCTGTTAAAAAAGCAGCACTGTCTTCGATCAAGCTTCGTCCAAGTAATTCAGTTATCTACTGATTTCGTCCTTTGGCGTCGAAATTTTCAATAATCAATTTACACCGATCATTGCATCTAAATGCTGCGATCTTTATTCGTGACATGCTTGACGCCCGTACAGGGCAACTGGGCAGTGTACGTAACACCATAAGGTCCGAATTTCTGAACCCATTCCCGACTTCGTGGCACGTAGTGCATATGGTAGTTTTGGCTCGTGAAACGATAACAAGTCTAGTAGAGATAATGCATCACATGTCGTTAGCTATTGACAACTAGAAGCAAATAGACCTATTACTACTAGATTTTACCAGTGTACTCGTCTGTGTGTGCCACTTAAAGCTAGTCTTGTTTTTTTTTTTTCGTTTTGGGTAACTCTCCTAGTGTTCATTGCATCATGGACAACTTAGCTGATCACCTTCAGTGTGTTCCGATTCATAATGCAGCATTTTCATCGAAATATCATGGGGTATACCCAAAGAAGCGCTTACGCGCCAATGGTATTCCTGTTGTATATAAATGGTTTACTGTTCATGTGCAATTCTACATATCGACTCTTTGCCGATGACTGCATCTTATGCAGCGAAATTCTTTCAACATCTTATCAATAAGCATAGAATTCCGTTCATAATTGGTGCCCGGAAGGACGAATGATGATTAACATGAAAAAGCCTGCAGTGCTCCCAATAACTCGTAAAAAAAAGGTTAAAAGAGACTTCATTTACGCCATAAATAACGTCCCAATTTCGAAAAAACACAAATACCTAGAAATAACACTGTCGCACACTATCATGCGCAAAACCCGCATAAAAAAAACATCATGCCATCCACCCTAAAAAGTTTATTTGTTCCTTCACAGCGGCTACGGCTCGCACCATATAAAACAAATCTACTGGCATACACTACAGTAATTAAACCACTACTTCAATATGGCACAGTCGCATGGTTTCCACATACCAAGAAACTTGCATCTGAACTGGAAACCGTACAACAAATAGTGATTCGCTTCGCGTTATAGTAAATATAAACTTACCGATTCACAAACAGAACCGCTTATAAAAGCCAAATTACGAACCACTGAAAGCAAAGCAAGAAAATAGCGAGAATGAAGTGTCTATTGTAGTGTTTGAATGATGACATTAAAGTTGATACTACCAAGTTCATCTCAACAAACACTACAAGAAACACGACGTAGACACTCCCAAACACCGGCTGAATACTCTACCCCCACCAACTGCCTTAAGTGTACTTGTTTTCTTATTGTAATTAGATTACATAAATTTATCATTAATACTGGCATCGGGAAAACTTTAATGTACCACGAACAATGTTTCACCACCACCAAGTTCATCCTCACATCCTTTCACTAAGTTCATGAACACTTTTGTAACATCATTGCAAAAAGCGGTTAAGATTATACTTCTTATTTTTCCTTTCAACAGTTGAACTTTAATGTTATTATCCAAACTATATGAACCATTCTTTCTTCTTCCTCTTTTGTTGTTTTTTTTTTGTGAGCACGAATGCGAAAGTTTATTGTAATATTGCACTTATTTTACTGGTACTGAATTGTTTCAGCAGCGACTTAGACGCTATCGTATATTTATTGCAGCAGTCTCAAGGTATATTCTTGTACTAACTAGTCTTCTGTGTATTATTTAATTTATGTCTTGTTCTGTCCTTTATGACTTTTTGTAAGAGGCTCTTTGATATGTGGTCCTCCTCCGATGATTTCGAACATGGGCGGCAGCATTGATAAATAAATAAATAAATAAATAAATAAATAAATAAATAAATAAATAAATAAATAAATAAATAAATAAATAAATAAACTTCCGTATATTCTCAACAATTTCAGGCGCCACCTTAGGGGGTGGCAGCTGGGGGCCTGGACTTTCCCATAAAACTTGGATGAAGGGGAGTGCTTTGCCAATTTTACCAATTACAAATAATATTCCTGGCAACGGGCTTGGGTGGAGGCCTTAGGGGCGTCACATCCCACTCCTGAAATCCCCGATTTCGTATACAAACATGCAGAAAAGACATATAATTGACCCCCACCGTGAAAAATTATGTCTGCTACGCCCCTGACAACATAGTAACGACGATTCCTTTTGAATTATCTTAATGGGGAAGTTGTACGTAGTTGGGCCCAGGCTACGGCTCGCGTCTCAAGGCCGCGAACGTTGTTATCCGAACGCGATTCGAGATACGAAAGTAACAGCTTGCGGGATTTGCCAGCAATCTCGCACGTGTGGGCAATATATCAGACCGTGACCTTAATATACTACGGCTAGCGCATAAATGGAACTCTGCAGATAAAAACACCGAACGTCTGCAACTCTGCATATAAATGCTCTTAGCTCTCAGCGAGTTGAGACAGCACAAACGTGGGAGCTGTTGCCCTGTTCCGAAGCGTGCTTAGCCGTTCCGTAAGTATTCATAATATCTGGGATTTTACACGCCTTAACGATGATATGATTACGCTTTATAGCGTAATGTTGCGGACATCTTTCGAACATCTGGTGTTCCTTAACGTGCACTGACATGTACACAGTACGTGTACATAGTACAAAGGCCCATGTACACAATACATGGGCCTTTATCAATTTTTCTCCATCGAAAAGCAACCTCCACGGCTGGGACTGAAAACGCGGCTTTAGGGACAATATCCGAAGAGCAGCTCAAGTATACGGTTTCAACGCGGCGGTACATTGCATAAATGTTGAATTGAATTAAACGGGTTATTCATGTGCATATCTTTACGCTGGAACATGCGCTGTACACGCATGTCATTCAGAGCTCCTTATTCGGCCAAAAGCTTTACTGAGATAACTTTTGAACGAGTGACGTGAGTTGTTTAGGGGAGGAATAAACTTTTATTGATCAGAAATTGAAGTTGGGACTACAGCACTCCGTCCAACACGAGTGGCCAGAGTGGCTTTCAAACTTGCGCGCTCCGATGGCAGCGCCCTCTCAACAACATTGCACCAAACTTGCTTAATTTGCTGCTCGCTACACGCGGAAAGAATACTGATCTCCAAACGTAGTAGAGACCAAGAGCGCGAAGCGAAATAAAGCAGGTAAACACCATTGATATGAAGCGTTGTACACAGCCTAGTAGGGCTCGCAATACCCCTGTCAGTTTACTGGTCTTACCTGAATATGGCACAGATGTTGCGGTAAAGTAGTTAATAAAAGAGGAGAAAAAAAATACATGATTCGTACTAGGCCTCCAAGATAAGCATCATTTGACAGAGCATGGCCTTTGAGATGGCAAACGCGCGGCGCTGCCGTGCGTTTGCCATCTTGGAGGGCATAAACAGAACGATCTTTTTTTGTTTGTTTTCTGCCGTGAGTTGGCGCTGCTGCCACAAGAAACGATGCTTTTTTATGTTTACTTCATCACTGCCAGGAGAAAGCGTATCCACCCAATAGGATCCATAAAATGCGTGCATCTTTGAGCAAACTATGCGTTGATTCAAGTTGATTCAAATATTACCTGATCTGCGGTCAAGATAAGCAATACACATTTAGAATATTGGTTGGTAAAAAACAGGTATGGGGCGCTTATACAGAACCTTATAAAATGAAAACGCTTCACGAAGAAAGAAAAAAAAAAGATATGATCATAATTTTGGACTGGCATAGATGAATGTATACTGATGTTAGCAAATACGCTGGGTGACCATCTATCTATCTATCTATCTATCTATCTATCTATCTATCTATCTATCTATCTATCTATCTATCTATCTATCTAGCTATCTATCTATCTATCTATCTATCTATCTATCTATCTATCTATCTATCTATCTATCTATCTATCTATCTATCTATCTATCTATCTATCTATCTATCTATCTATCTATCTATCTATCTATCTATCTATCTATCTATCTATCTATCTATCTATCTATCTATCTATCTATTTCATTCCTGTTTTCTTGTGATCATTAAAAATGAACTTAAACCGCACTACCTGAACTAAGTGTACTCATGTCATACCTCGTCTCAAATCGACTTTTTTTTACTTGTACCTTTGGTTTTCTCTTGCTACTGATTTGTAGACGTTTTATCTAATCTGATTTGATTTTGCAACATATTCCGTTCACTTGTGTTAGTTATTGCCCTTTATATTTTTATAATTAATCGAGGGTCCGCTACAGTTTTTTTTTTAGTTTGGGACCATCGCCTGTATATTTGTTGATCTTGTATTTCTTTAAGCAATAAACTGACACTGAAGCTATCTATCTAATCTGTGTTTGCGCACGCGCGCATGCGTGCACTATGGTGACACGCCCCACAAATTTGCGGTGAAAGAAATGTCTAATGACAGCTTCAAATAACAGCGTTATTTCTACCTGCGCAGCAGCTGTTTCGAATAGCGGGCCGCCGCATTCAACTGACATGTTTCGTGGACGTGTGGCGCTTGTGACTGGCGGGGGCAGTGGCATAGGCCGCGCAGTGTGCTGCCTGCTGTCCCAGAGAGGTGCCCGCGTCCTGGTGGCAGATGTCGATCTGGAGGCGGCCAATGCGACGGTGGCGTTGCTTGAAGGTCAGCTAGGTTGTACCTTATAATGTGTATTTGTTGCAGTGCAGAAGACGATTCACGACGTGTTTTTTTGGCATGTAGGCGTTCGCGAGCCGAAGTAGAGTGCAGTGGGAGGCAGCCCTTTGTCATATAGAGGGGGAGAGGGTGAATTATGCCAGCCTCTTCCCCTTTATATGAAAATGACTGTGAAGAAGATGAGTGTCGCCAAACCTGGTTTGCAGCGCCGAGACCAGAGCTTCATAGTTCGAGCGGACGGCTTGCGGGATGTACTCGAGGTATTCAGCTGCGGCGGCATGGAGCTGGTTAACTTGCGCCTGAACGTTATGTTGAACTGTCCAGTCGTTTAGGGCAGCGCTGGACTAAAACTGCACCAAGAATGCTGCCCATGACGTGGTGCTATCGAAGGTAGGCGGTGAAAGTTGTGCTCCGAAAAACCGAGGCTGAGCTGACATGAGAGCATTTCGTTCGACCGTGGTATACTAGCGTTGCTTATGGCCAGACTGGGCTTCAATGGCAGAGAGCCATGCAGATAGGTCGGCGACGTCATCTGCCGTCATGGAACGTTGGGCAAGCGTGGCCTCAAGATAAAGCAGGCGGGTAGCGAAGCGAGTTTCGAAATCTCGCATGAGGGCTCTTCTGTCGGCCTGACCTTGTAGGGCATCTAGGCAATCTTGCGCATCGAAGTATGATAGGGTCTGTGCCCGAGCTTTCCTGCGTAGTCTGGACAGCAGGTTCCCGGGCCGTCGCCGATGCGGCAGCGTTGCTCCGAGTAGACATGGGTTACCGTTGCCACCGCTACAACCAAGTGTTGCGTAAAAGAGCAACTAACGCTAACACCATCCAAAACGAACACTGTCCTGATCGTCCTCTTTCTCTGGACTACCCTTCAGGCGTCAATAAATCCGTCGGTATGATCCACAACAATATCTTTACTAAGTGAAATCTTTCTCGTCATTTTTTTTAAGGCACAAAATTAGGGCTACGCGCGTTTTTTTGTTTTTTTTTGTTTTTGACAATAATGACAACCAAGTGCTCCTGATCTTGCATTGAAAGAACTGCTTTCATCCCACCTTTACCCCGGAAAGCTGGGCACTAATGAGATGCCGTTTGAAAGAGAAGTGCAAACTTGGACCCGTACGTCTGGCTGCATCAAATAAAATGAACCAACAAAGCGAACCAGCTCCTGTGGCTGTTGCTCATGCCCGCCGCCCTTTCTTTCTCCTTTACTTGCAACACACTCCCGCGGCTGGCAATGTTGTGTACGATTTGAGCTAGTCTGCCAAGTTTAAGAAAGCTTTGAGTGAATCTGCCAGGAGGTGTTATACAGCGACGATGAAGGAGTCTCCCGACGGCTTGTCGACCATGGCTGTGCCGCTTGGCGAGATTCTTCGTTCCAGCCGGTTTCCTGCGTGATGAACATAATGTAGTGCAGGAGTTGTGTAGTGTATAGTTTGAACATCTAGCGGAGGTCTCTGGCGTTAGATGCCACCTTCTTCTGGCATTCGGCGGTGTCGAAAACGGTCTTGGGGTGCATGTACCTGGTTGAGTGCGGCTTGTAGTAGCGCTGCTGATTACCGTCCTGATCAACGACTTGCTTGGACTTGGAGCAAGACAAACTCGAGACTCTACCGCCAGAATCTGGCTTGAGGTACAATGAGGACGAGAAGTAGGGTTCCGCCTGCTGTTGCTTTTGCAGAAAGTCCTGGATGTACACGGTGCTAGGTGATCGGCAGTACATGACTTCACCCTCTTCGTCTGAAAAGTATAAGGCAACCTTGGCAAGCTGGGTTGTGGGAAACCTGAGCCTTGTGGTCGATGCGTATGGGGCACTCGGGGTTTCCCTTAGCCATAGTACTCGCCACGGCGTACCTTCCGGATGAGTCCTTGCACCTAAGCACCGTGGATCGCGTGGACAGCGACAGGTCTCGCGGCATGTACCCGAAACTCTTCAACTGGTGTTGAAGAGTTTCGTGCGTGAATAGGCTCGTGCGCGACGAACGGTGTAGTCTGGTTTAGTGTAATACCAGATACTGGCGCCTCAGCCGGGAGGCTGAGCGAAGGCAAAGTCGCGGCCTGCTGCGACGACGAGGTGAGAGGAGTCGTGAGGTTGGTCAACGGCGAAATCGCCGCCTGCTGCGACGTGAAAGCGAGGCGAGTTCGATAGGCGAGGCGGCTTGTAGACAATATCAGTTCCTCGACATCGCTTTCCTCTTGTAATTGTGCTTGAACTTTGATGAAGCTCATAAATTCTTTCACTTGTTGTGACTGCGCTTCTTGATATGTCATGGCGTTCTCAGCTGGCATAGCTTTTCTTTTGCCTTTTACGATACAGAATGCTAAGGTCTGGAAGTAACGCCTTCAAGGTGACGCTCCGCAGCACCGTGAAGTTCTCTCCTGGATACACTCCGAGACCTTCTAGAGCGTTGATGCGCAATGTTGTTACATCGTAGAGATTACTTAACTTGGTCACGTCAGTGGAACTTCAAAGTGGTGTGACTGACGGCAAATAGTCTAAATGGTAATCGACTAGCACGTCGCGGCGGCCGAAATGGTCGGATAGTATATATCTGTATTGCCCCGTCGTAGTTAACGTCGGTAAGGCGAATACACTGAATCGGTACCTTTATTGATTGATGTGTGGGGCCTAACGTCCCAAAACCACCTTATGAATATGGGAGACACCGTAGTGGAGGGCTCCGGAAATTTCGACCACCTGGTGTTCTTTAACGTGCACCCAAATCTGAGCACACGGGCCTGCAACATTTCCGCCTTCATCGGAAATGCAGCCGCCGCAGCCGGGATTCGGTCCCGCGACCTGCGGGTCAGCAGCCGAGTACCTTAGCCACTAGACCACCGCGGTGGGGCGAATTACTACCTTCACTGCCCCAGTTAAATATTGTCACGGGGTCGTGACGTGGCCAAAGACAGGAAACTTCGTGTTGGGATTTAACTGTTTATTTGGGCGAACCTGTGCCCGGTAAAGGGAAAGTCTAATTACAGCAGCAGTCTTGCACAGATAGCAGTCTCGGACTGATACAAAGAGAAGTTTATTAACTTCAAACTCAAAAAAACTCTTTACATCATTTATTCATACAGTGCTCGTTTAGACACCCCTCTTGTGCACTATGCGGCATACAAACTCCATTATCCATAGAGGAAATTAGCGGCGCATACACAGATCTATACAACGCAGCGTCGGCCTTCGATCAACAACTGACAAGCGGCGAAGCGCGTCGGCATTTATAACCTTGCCGTCAAATGTTCTAGCGTTATCGCTGGCGGTGGCGTAGGTTCCAGAACAATCTGTACCGTTCGCACAGTGGGCGTGATCTTATCGAAATGATCTACTACAGTCCGGAACCTTCTCGAAACCTGCAGGCGCGGTTTGCGCTGAGAATCGTGTGGTGTTTCGGAACGATAACAAAAACTTGTGAAATGGAACGTGGCAATATGTTAACAAATATTTAAACTTATTGATTTTTGGGATCCACTCGCTGTTCTGAATGCTTTCTTGTAACTGGTTCCAAAATCCTTGTCAGTCGCGTTGTTCTCCGGAGAAACTCGGGATGTGCAGCTTGGGCAGCGCGATGCGAGACGCCGTCGTTAGAGTCGCAAGGCCGGGCGAAGCCGAGGTCGTGGCCGGCTGCGACGTGCATACAAGAGGGTCACTGGGTGGAGTGATCGCGACGGCGACGGATGCGGTTGGCTGCCACGGCACGGTCACGCGGCGAGCTCTCATTACTTTATCCTCGTAATCACTGGCGTTGGTCAAGTCTGCCTGCAACTCCTCACCATGCAGTGCATTTTGAATCTACCTGTCGACGTTGATGAGGTGGGCGTTTTTCGACACAATTATGGGCGTTTTTCGCCACCGTTCTCATTTAATTGCAATGACGTACGCCTTCGTGCGAAGCGCGTCATCGCCTCACGTTTATTTTCTGCATTCATTGTGAGGCTTGTCTGCTTCTGAACTCGTCCAAATGAAGGGTGGGAGGAGGGACAACGGTTACTGCATTATACGGGGGAGAAGGCGGTGACTATTGCCCTCCCCCACTCCCGCAATGAATAACCATGCACACTATATGGGCTGGCGACAGCTGCGACACGTGCGCGTTGTCCATTTCAACGTTAGGCAATCGCTCGTCCTCGTTCGCATTTCTTGGTCAACGGCTACTCATGTACCCCGCCGTGGTGGTCTAGTGGCTAAGGTACTCGGCTGCTGACCCGCAGGTCGCTGGTTCGATTCCCGGCTGCGGCGGCTGCATTTCCGATGGAGGCGGAAATGTTGTAGGCCCGTGTGCTCAGATTTGGGGGCACGTTAAAGAACCCCAGGTGGTCGAAATTTCTGGAGCCCTCCACTACGGCGTCTCTCATAATCATATGGTGGTTTTGGGACGTTAAACCCCACATATCAATCAATCAATCAACGGCTACTCATGCCAACGGCCACCTTTTATTTATTTTTTACTAAGACAGTATTCAGTGTGAATCGCAGCTCGCGAATAAGTTGTAAGTAGCGCGACTGACAGTTTTATATCCGCTGCGACCAAACAGATTTGGTATCAATCTTCGTTGCAGCAGTGTGTCTCCAAGAAAATCGCGCTGTCGGTAGGCAGTGTGTGTTTAGAAAAAGCGGTTTATGATTTAAAGTACTTGGTACTCTACTATAGTAGAGCAGAAAGCCGTACGACTACGCAGTTTTCATGTAGGGTAGAGTTGTCATGATATCCTTCTTGCAAAGCTCTCACTGTGCTCCTGCTTTCAGATGCGTGGTGGTGAGTAATGTGATATGTAACGATGAACTTAACTTTTAATGGTCGTAGTGGCTGAACGCAGTTGACAAGTACAAAAGTGTATTTCATCTCAAATGCTCAAGTAGAAGGGTATCTCTTGCGATTGACTGCGTCACTTTAATATCGAAATATTGCAAGTAATCGTTGATGAAACATGAATGCTGTGTTCAATCTTAAGTTGCTCACGACGATGCATGCTGTAAACTTGTT